GGCTGCGAGTTTAGGAGAGAGATGGGGAGAAGGGCTGTGATGAGCCAGAGGGAGTGGTGGCCACTTCTGAGCTTTCCCTCACTCTGACATGGAGTGGAGGGCTTTACTCATGGAGGGCCTGCAGCCTCCAAATGGAGTGGTGACCTGTGTTGCTTCCTGTATTCTCTCCCTAGCCAGGGTGAGATTCTGTGCAGTTACCACTGAAATCAGGCCTGCTTCTGGCTTCTCTTACAGATCCATAGAGTTAAGGATTGAGGGGCCAGTCACCACAAAGTGCCCTGCCAAAGATCTTCCTGGCCCTAGGGTACTGTGTGGGAGAGTGGACATGAAAGATCTTTAATGAGATAGAGAGGAAATAAAAGGTTGGGCGGGGGTAGCGGGATCCTTCGCTTTAGATTAATTTCTAGGGAGCATGAAAGAAGCACTCAGCCTGCCATGATGGATTCTGTCCTACAGGGAGTGAGACAGACATTTCTCTGGTGCTGGTGTAATTTTACTCATTAGAGCTTTGCCAAACCAGTAACACAAACTCACGGCCATCAAATTGGTTCTGATTCACACTCATAGTGACCCCCCCTTGGTTTTCCGGGGTGGTAAATCTTTATGGAAGTAGATTGCCCCATCTTCCGTGGAGTGGTTGGTAGGTTTGAACAGCCAGCCTTCTGGTCAGCAGTCAAATGCCCTAGGCACTGCGCCACCAGAGCATTTAGAGGGCTTTAAACCTGTCAGGGTTGGGAGCTCTGGTAGCGTAGTGCTTAAGGCACTGGACTGCTAACCAGAGGGCTGGCGGTTCAAACTCACCAGTAACTCCTGGATAGAAGATGGGGCAATCTACTTTGGTAGTGATACTGCCTCGGAAACCCAAAGAGGGGTCGCTATGAGTCAGGTCCGACTCAACAGCACATAACAACAACAACAAACCTGTCACACTGGCCCTGAAACTGTTCAATGATTCCAGGCTAAGAATGAGAAAAGCAGGCCTGCCAGACTGGCCAGCCCAGGATGGCTGGGCCAGTCTCTGGTACCCAGGTATTCTGACGTTGGACCACCAAGTTTGTTCCCTGACTCAGATATAGATGAGGCCTATGGGATAGCATCTCCTGGCTGCTTGCTACCTGTCCCTGACACCCAGAACTTCCTCCCATGTGTGGCAGGGGCTCTGGGGCAGCCTCCAGCATCTAGTCCCTCTGGATACCCAGGGACTTCTCATTTCTCTGTGACTTCTGTCCAGAAGAGAGAGTGGAAGCTTGGTGATGGGGCCCTGGGGCCTGGAGGCCGTGGAGAATGATGGGACTCTGCTCACTTGGCGCTGCCACCTCAACTTGTAAGCCAAGCTCTGGAGCGTTTTGAGGGGAGGGGAGAGTTCATCTTGCAGACCTTCGCGGCTGGTGACAGCAGGAAGTTCCTGGGTCGCTCAGCTGAAAGCTGAGGATCGCTAGGGCGACGCGGAGACTCTGGACTGCTGCGGAGCGCACTAGAGAACCTTTGGCCTGAGGGTCCCTGGGAGGGGACCTGCTGTGCTGAGGCCCCGCAGACCGCGCAGCACTTCGACTGCTTCACTCTAACTTAAATTTCCCTTCCCTACTTAATTGGGTGCCCGCCTCCAGTAAAGGGCCCATCAAAGTCAACCCGGTTGCGCAAGGGTCTACTCCCGCCCCTCGCCGAAGGCCAGCCGCTGGCCTGAGCCTCCCTGGACCCCAGCCTCTCACAAATCCCGGGCCACCCTCAGCGCGGAGCAACCGCCCCCTGACCGCCTTGCGCCTGCGCGCTCCAGTGCCCCTCCACAGTCTGTGAGGAAGCACAGTTCTCACACCTGGCTGATCGCGCAGAGGAGGCCTAAAGCTTGGTCGGATCCAGCACCTTCTTTCTGGTGGGCTCAGGTCTAGCCTGGCTGGTGACTGGACGCAGGGTACGACTTTGGTGCGGAGGTGAGGGGAGACTGAATTGATTTCTCTCGACAACTCCTCTTCCACGCACCCAGTGCGCACAACCATAGTCCGCTCCTGCACACGCTGTGCCTTGAGGGAAAGAAGATGCAAACACAATGGAGGCCCCGGCTCCCACCTGGCCTGATTCTCAGTTCCCACTAGTGGGATCCCGCCTCCCATGATACCCCGACACCACATGTGTGTCTTTGGCTGGAGTCCCCAGTTTTGAATTCTTATCAAGTTTCATTTCAAATAGGATTTCCGAATAGAAGTTACTAAGCCCTGTCCTACCCGCAGGAACCTTGGTGGCATAGTAGTTAAGCGCTCAGCTGTTAAATATGGGCGATTTGAACCCGGCAGAAAGATGTAGCGATTTGCTTTCTTAAATACTACAGCTTTAGGAGTCAGAATTGCCTACAATGCAAAGGGTTTGGTTTTGGGCCCTTCCGTTGTCTTACTTTTCTGCAGCCCTGCTCCCTGCCGCATTCCTGCAGCCTGTTGGCCTCTGGTGAATCTCCTAGCCTCCAATGAAAAGCGGAGCGGGGATGAGGCCTACAGCAGCCCACCCAGGCGCTCGCTCTTCTGGCTAGCAGCCGTCTTGATCCGCTGGAGGACTGGGAAGAGTCTGCCCCGACTAGGGATGGATGTGCTCTCAGGCCTGGGTACTGGGCTCCTGCGCGGGCCAGGTTCAAGGACCAAACCCTGGAAATGGAGTTCCAAACAGGGAAATCCCCACCCTGGAATCCCACTTAAGTAACCTTTCTCCCCCCGCAGGGACTTTCCTCCAGTAGCCACCAACGAAGTTGTGCGCAGAGGACCCTTGGGCACTGCGCCCGCATCAGACAGACCTGTCGCCGACGCATGCTCTCGGGCCAGCCTGCGCGCAGTCCAATAGATGACCCAAAGGTCTGTCTTCTCCTTGATTGGAAGGGAGGAAAATTTATTTCTATCCGGAATCTTTCTTCAGAGCTACATACTAAATTTGCATTACAGTTTTGGGTTGTGAGGAATCCAGTGCCTTATAGAACGTAGAGATGGCCCGGGGGAAGAGAGCAGGAACCGCTGAGCGCTGATGGAACCCTCGCCTTGGTGCCAGCGGTTCCCAGCTCCTGACTCCTTGCAGTTCAAATCTGGGACGGGTGCTCGGGTAGGGGTGGGTGGAGCGCTGGGAAGGGAGCGCAGGATGAGTGGATCCCGCATCCAACCCTCCCGCAGCGCTTAGCCGGCAACGCCACGGCGCTGCAGGACTGAGCGCCAGGTGGCTGAGCCGAAGCTGAAGCCAGGAGAGCCCGCGAGGCGACAGGGCGGAGGGGGAGCCTGCGACTGCCTGGGAGGAGAGACAAGGAAAACTGTGCAGGAAGGCGGCTTGAGTGCCCGGATCCCGGCGCAGACAAGGGTTTGCCCCGAAGGCCCTAAATTCCGCTCGCGAGGAAGGAAAGGTTCACTTCCAACTAAAACTTAATTCTCAAGCGAAGGGCAAGTGGGTTCTGAATTAGGCGTAGAAAAAGAAAAATAAAGACAAGCAAGCTGTTATAACACAGCTTAGAACGTGTTTTTAAACGCATGGATGGAGGAAGAATAGACAACTCCATGGTTTTCTTAGCGCAATAGTCCCTAAACCCAAGGAATCTCGTCCAGCATCCACTTCCCGAGACAGCCTGAAATCTGCGCCAGCCAAGTCCGCAGCTCCCGGCTCTACCTCACACCTACGCCAATGCAAGTCCCCAACTTGGTTTACATTTTATTTAAAATCTCAACACTCGATCATTTATTTCGTTTTTGCAACCAAACAAGTAATAAATATTATTTAGCTTTTTTTTTTTTTACAAAAATAAAACAGATGATACACTCTCTGCGAGGGGCAGCGATCAAGGAGGGGTGTTACGCAGCAGACGCTACTGAGCCGAGATTGCAACTCAGGCAGCGCGCAGGCAGGTTGCGCTGACACAGAAAGCACAGGTGTAGTTTGTCATGTGTGTTAAATTTGGCAAATAAAAAGAAAGAAACAAATACAGAGGAAACTCAGCTTAGACGCCAGTGGGGCTCAGTCACGTGAGCAAACACCTTAGCAGCGCGCACTTACCTCATCACTGATCTTATATTTACACATTCAAGAAACAAAAATAAAATAAAAAGCCCACCGAAGCCCCCAAATAACCCACCCTGTATTCATTCCTCAGCCTTTCAGTTCTGACAGACTCCCAAGTATAAAAAAAGACTGCCCCAGTCGGGCAAGAAACCAAATCACTTTGTGCTCAGAGGCAGAAAGACTGGGGGAAAGAAGAGTTTCTATTTTTAAATCATAGCTAAAAAACACTCGCCCCCAAAGTCGGCAGTTTTGTGTCACTCCATTCCTCAAGTGTTTTTATTCTGGCAGTCTATAAGCTTACTTGTACTTTTGAAAAAGGAACATCGACATATTTATTAGAAGACCACAAACCCCCAAAGCAACAGGAGCGACGGGGCGGAGTGGACACAGTTCTCAGATGGTTGTGGGTTTTCCTTGCTATGGAGACTGGTCACTGCCCTCCATGCATTTGGTACTGAATGCCAGCACCAACTAACTGCTCGCCCCTAGCCCAGGGCCAGGGAGGAGCCTTAGGGCAGGCTAGAGCAGTTGATCTTGTAGTCTCCCACTGATCAAGAAAGGAGAAAAGAGAAGAAAGAAGTCCCCTGTAACCAAGTGCTGTCCGGGCCGGGTCAGACCTTGTTCCCCGGGAATCCAAAGTTTTACAATATTTTTCTGGGAGAGAAGGGGTCGAAAAAGGGATGCACATAGCGGTGCCTTTTTATAAAATGATGTCTACCGGACCACTGCTCTTTAAAGCCAGAGAAGACTAAACCAGGGTTCGGAGTGAACGTCCCCCTCACTCCCTACTCCTCAGTGCGCGTTCACTTTGCTTTGATTCCCCGGCGGTAGAGACACCACTATCGTCCCCAAAACCCAGCCCTTGGTCCTGCGCTGCCTCCTTGGAAGAGACCTCGTGGGCCCCAGCGAGGGTCAGTCCCCACTTCCACGTAGCCTTCGGTCCCCTCTCCCCCGATCGCCAAAACGCGCCAGCTCCGGCTGGCTCACTTGGCGTCGGAGGTGAGGCGCGGCAGGCTGCCTGCGCCCATAGCCGACACGTGGTGATGCGGCGGTGGCACTTGGCACATGCTGCAGGGGCAGGGCATGCCGCCCCAGTGCTGGAAGCCCCCGCTGCCCCCGCTGCCGCCGCCCCCGGCTCCCAAAGGGGCCGCCGCAGCTGCAGATGGAGACTTGAGCAGGCCGTGAGGAGGCCGGATGGAGCCGACAGATGACAGCCCGGAGCCGGGCAGGGAGGCGCTGGACACCGCGGCGGCAGCAGCGGCCGCTGCTGCGGCGGCGGCGGCGGGTGGCAAGATGGGGTGGTGCACCGCAGGGTGGTGTGCGGCGTGTGCTGCGGCCGCTGGGTGCGCAGTGGCGGCCGGTAGGGGCGCCGAGTGCGCCAGGCCGCCACAGGCCGAAGGATGGAAACCTGCGTGGTGGCCGCCGTAGATCTCGCTCACCAGCCGCTTCATCTCCTCCAGTGAATTGGTAAGCATGAGGATGTAGTTGCGCGCCAGTAGCAGCGTAGCGATCTTGGAGAGCTTGCGCACCGACGGGCCGTGCGCGTAGGGCATGACCTCGCGTAGCCCGTCCATGGCGATGTTGAGGTCATGCATGCGCTTGCGTTCGCGGCTGTTTATCTTGAGGCGCAGTTGTTGCAGCTCGGGCTCCGTCATTTGCTTCTTGTCCTTCTTGGTGGACGACGCGGCCGCTGACGACGTGGAAGACGAGGTGCTAGACGACGAGGACTTGAAGCTGCCGCCGCCCAACTTCTCCCCGGGGTGCGCGCCTGCCGCGCCCATGGCGCTGCGCAGCTCGGCGCTCAGCTCCGGCGGGCAGTCGCTCGGTGTCGACGAGGACACAGTACCTCCCGAGAAGCCACCGCCGCCGCTGCCCTTGGTCCGCGCCGGCAGGAAAAGGTCATCGGCCTCTGGTGACGACGGGCGGCTGGACACCAAGCTGGCGTCCGAGTCCATGGCCCCAGGCAATAGGCTCAGCTGCTGCAGTGTCCTCACTCCCTCGACCCGCGTGGGCCTGCTGAGCTTCCACGCACGCCTCCTGAGGAGAGGAGGGAAAACAAGAGAAAGAGACAGACGCTAAGTCAGTGCCAGAGAAAGCTCTCTGCTCTAGTCTGCATCGCAGCGTTGCATCCAGGCGCTGGTGGCGGGCCGCGCTGCGTCCACCTCGCTATCTCTGGCTTTCCATCTGGGGACACGCAAATACTTATAACTAATCTCTCTTCCTACCACCTCTCCTCTGCTTCCGTGCACAAGTTGTTTGATTCCAGGGAGCACTGGGGGTCCTCACAATTGGGGGCTGTGAGGGTGGCGTCCAAGAGGTTTGTACCTTCCGTTGGGAATGGGAAGGCAGGGTCTCCAGGGATGGCAGAAAACGGGTGGCAAGTGAGGGCTTTTCTTTGGGGAGGGTGGAGATCGAAATAGAGAAGTATTGCTTTGGTTCCTCATCCACCTCATCTCCACTGACATCGCGCAGCAAGCACAGGCAAACACACACGCCCCCTGCACCCTCGGTGCGCCTGGGTTCCAAGTACTGCGTCCCGGGGCCTAAGGGAGCTCGCCAGTTGATGGAGGTTTGGGCAGAGGAATCTGCTGTCTCCCGGACTTCTCGCTTTTGGGTGAGGGATGCTGCAGGGAGTGCGGGGAGGGTCAAGGCAGGGAGGTCGCACTGGGGAACAGACGAGCAGGGGCGGGATCGGGGGCCCCCTCCATCGGAGCATCTGGGTCACAGCCGAGTTGGAGGGCGTCTGTCTCTGGGTTCCAGGCTGAGTTGCTGAGGGGCGGGGGCACTTACTGTGGATGCAGTTCGAAGAGCTCGCTCTGAAAAGCAGCAGCGGAGAACTGGCTCCCAGCGCAGGGATCGCGTCGGTCTATAATAAGCATCCGTACCTTTCCCAACTCGGCGAGTTTTTATAGCCGGGTGGCGGCAGCTACGGCGGCGGTGGCCCGGGCGGGGGCGGGGAACAATGTGCTTGTCCTGGAGGGGCTGCCGCGCCAATGAGCTGGGTCTGCCCCGGGGGCTGGGAAGCTGATGTCATCCGGGCTAATTCCGCTCAATGAAACCTTCCCGGCCCGGCACACGCCTCCTCCCCACGCACAACCAATGGGTGCCCAAGGCCGTGAGATCTTGGGGAGGAACAAGAGGCGGGACCCTGGGAGGGAGGGGGGAAGAGGAGAGGGGAGGGTGGGCTCGCGGGCCAAGAAGCTAGGGTAGAGCGCAGTGGAGACCGAAGGGGAGAGAGAGAGCGAACGTTGTCCTATGTCTAGAAAAATTCAGTCACCACAGAGTTAGACTGGAGGCTGGAGTGGGCTGGGGGCTCCTGCTCATCAAACAAACTCGATACTCAACGCAGCCTGCAGATAACCCTGGCGACCCAGGAGCCCAGGCTGGAGTCTCTTCACTCCCCGCCCTTCTCTGGGTGCCCGCCACCTGTCTCCATTTCAAGGGTTTCATCAACACGTTGGCATTTTCGGCCCCAAGTGTAAACAATAACCAGGCACAGAGCTCGCGTTTTCTTTGCGCTCTGATCGAGTTCCTAGGTGGTGGCCGCTCCAGCAGCTCCGCGGGCAGCTAGTAGCGCCCCCAGCTGGGAACAAGGGCCTGTAGGGGCAGAGGGCTGGCAAGGAAGGAGGGGGACCCCGGTGCTCCAGAACCGAGAGTTTTGGAAGAAACAGTAACTCTTCATAAAGTTAAGGATGGTGCAGGCACAGGGATCAGTTACTTCCGTAGAGTAACTGTGCTAACGCAGGAAAGGATGAGCCCAGAGCTAAAGCCCCCTCCTCCCTTTTTATTAGCACAGGAGCCTGGTGATGGTGTTTTTAGTATCATCCTCGTGGAAGCCACCGTGACAATGGGGCAGGGACAACTCTGGTTTCTTTGCTAAGAGAAATGTCAGACTTGGGCAAGGTCTTTCCGATGCTGTGGACCACACAGCAAGATCTAACCACTCTAACACGTTTAACAGCATCCTTGTTCTGAAACTCGGAAGCCTTTGACTTTGGGGTAATTAAACCAGATCTGGCTAAGCGCCCAGTTGAGGTAGTTCAGAGGTGCCAGTGTACTCACCCATTTTACACATGGGAAAAATTGAGAGACTATTTCTGCAGCAAGCCTACAGAAAAAAAAATGACTAACCCTTTACAGTGTGGCTCTTTCTGCCTGGACCACAGATGCACGCATTGGCGGTTCCTTACAATACAGGCGGCCGCCTTCTCAGAAACTCCTAACCTTTTCCCAGAGCTGAATTTCTGGCATCTGTGCTTTTCAGTTACAGGAGTTCCTTCGGATCCAGGGTTCTGGCCCGCCTCACTGCCCCGCCCTACTCCTCTTCCCTCGCGGGGATTGTTACAATCCTCTGGTTACCGTCGCTGTTTCAGAACTTTTAATTTGAATATACGATTTTAAGAACAAGAAAAATAACAAATAAACATAAGTGTTTAGCTTTCAATTAGCAAAATCACATGCTAAAACAAACAAATAAATCCATTTTATTGCCCCCAGTTCCAGGGTAAGTCTCATCCGCCGTGTCCTCTGGAAAGCCTAGAAGGCTCTAGCATTTGCCGAGTCTCGCGCCTTCTGGAGCATTATTTTTCAACCTTCGTGTTTCCCAGCTGGTTCTGCAGCCATCCGTTAAATATGTATTTAAAACATTAAGAACTGAAGCGTGGTGGTATGTCGTCCAACGGTTAAGAAGATGTCCCATAACTGTTCAATTAGGAGAATCTGTCACTCAAACGAAGCCGGCGGCGGGGGTGGGGAGAAGAGAGAGTTCGAATACAGTATTTCAGTATGGCCCCTTTGGGCCTCCACTGCCACAGGCTGTGAGGACTTGCGTGCGCTGCGGGTACATGAGCCCGGGCTTGGAGTTGTGCGTCCGCCAGTGTATCTAATAAACACAAGCCCGCGAACAATGCGCACACTTGGGTTGAAGGCACCGATGCTAGTCCAGCACCTGCTACTTGTCCCAGAGCCCTGGTTCACTCTTATATTGCCTCCCACCGGCGTCCTCCCTGAGTCTTACTCGGCGGGAGAATACTCAGTCTGGGGTGCATTATGCGAGATCTCCAATAACTGGAGTTGGTGGCGGGTGGAGGGGGTGGGGGAGTGTTGGGGAGTCTTGTGTCGGCACCGCGCGATTCTAGAGCCCTGGAACTCAGAGTCTGTAGGCAGAAGGAGCGGGCTTCTCGCCAGGTTTCCACGTGGACGCCCATCAGGACGCTCCAGGCCCCAGACTCGCGCCACCGAGTGGCGGCAGCAGTGGCAATTCTGGGGCTGTGCAGCGGCACCTGCAGATCCGCAGCCCCCTGCGCGGGGACTCGGGCTGGTAGCTCGCGGCTGCACTTTCCAGCACCCTCCCTTCTCCAGAGAGTTATTCCAGTGGTGGGAGCGGTTTGTGTCCTCCTTGCCTCTTAGAGCCCAGGAGCAAATCGGACGCTGGACATATCCCGCTATGTCATCCAGATTTTTCCCCTGAGTTGAATTTCGCAACTCAAATCTGGCAGACGGCGCCTGCCCTTGTGTGTCCCAGGACCTACGCTCCGCGCCCAACGTGTACATCATGGGGTCCTCCCGGTGCGCTTTGCGGGAGCCTGAGCCTTGTGCCGGGCTTGCACATCCTGGGCCCGCCCGGGCTCAGCTGTTCCCACCCGCGTGCGGAAATGGCCCAACAGCTTTTTCCCGCGGAGTTGAGCGCTAATCGGCCCGGAGTCCAGGGGATTCCTGGCTAGCCCCGGCGTCCGCCGGGCCTTGGCCTCCTCCGTCAAAACGGAAGACGTGTCTTTCGCTTCTTTTGTGTTTCCCTCCCAACAAAGGACCGGGTGCGTGTCGGGCCGGCCTTTGCGCGATAGCCTATCCCGGGGGAGAAGCTTGTGCCAAACTCGCTAGAGCGGACCCCCACTGCTTCTTGAGTCCTTCCCTGATCTGTCTTCCCGTTCTCGCTTTTTCCTTCCCGGAGTTCCTGGACCCATTCAAGCCTAATCTCGGCCCTGTTGCGAAAGAGAGCGGCATCTTTGCGCAGAGTCGTCCGCTGCTGGAGGTGGCAGGCGATGCTGACGGTACAAGGAAGGAAAGGAAAGAAATGGGCATTTCAGCCATCGCTCCTAGTCTGGAAATGAGGGGCGTCGGAACAGTTAAGTTTGGCACCCAGCTGTGCCCGCTAAGACCCTTAAGAAGCCAGATCTCAGGAAACAAATGGCATCTATAGTCCTCAGGAGACTTGCTCCCAGAGCTGTCTGAGGCCCCGGCGCCAAGCACAGGGACTGGCACAGGGCAGAGGCTTGGTAAACACTTCTGAATGCACACACATGCAAATGTACATGTGAACTAGTGTGCAGCATGGCTAGTAAAGTACATGCAAGCATGGGTGAAGGTTCATAAATTTATTTGTTGTCTATAAACTGTGACGTCTGTAATCGGGACTGCTGAGTTGGTGGGAGTTTAGAATGAACAAGGCTGGTGACTTGCAACTAACAATAACTGTGAACACTGAAAGGTGACCTGAGCTCTGCCATGTTTAGCAGGTCATGACAGAATTCATCTCATTTAACTTCTCCCTGCTCATAGGAAGGAAGAATTACTTAGGCCATTTTACAGATAGGGAAACTGACACTCAGAGAGGTGCCTTCCCTTGAACTGAAGGGTGAGTCCTAGAGGCTGTGCAATGTGCTGGGGAGAGGGTCCATTGGGATATAGGGGAGAACTGTGAACATCAGACTTAGCAACCTGTGGTGTCCCCTCTTGGCCTCAGGTGCTCATCCGTAAAATTGATCCCTAGAAGCTCTCTGTGGCCTCTGAGGGTAAGTAAGTCTGCTGGTTTGCTGCCAGACTCCTACAGTCTGTCCCTCCCCCACTCCCACCATAGGGCAGAATGACATTCCTCTTGTGATTATTCTGCTAATAGGCCTAAGGCACTTGGCTGCTAACCAGAAGGCTGGAGGTTCAAACCCACCAGGCACTCCTTGGAAGGAAGGTTGGGCAATCTACTTCCGGA